AAGACTGGACAAGAGTTGATGCTTTTGAGTTGTGGTGTTGGTGAAGAATACTGAAAGTACCATGGGCTGCCAAGAGAACCAACAAATCTGACCTAGAAGAAGTGCAGCCAGAATACTCCTTGGAAACGACAATGGCCAGACTTCATCTCACTTACTTTGGTCAACTTGTCAGAAGGTACCGTTTCCTGGAGAAGGATATCATGCTTGGTAAAGTGGAGGGTCAGCAAAAAAGGGGAAGGCCCTCAATGAGATGGATTGACACAGTGGAGGCAACAATGGGCTCAGAAATAGAAAGGATTGTAAGGCAGGCATGGGACCGGGCAATGTTTTGGTCTGTTGTACATAAGGTCTCTATGAGTTGGAGCCGGCTTGAAGGCAACTAAAACAACAACAACAACTTCCCTAATATACCTCATAGCGCTGAGTATTGTCTATGAGTTCTGTGTGGCCATTTCAGCAAATAAGCAAACTCAACAGAGAAGCAGAGAGTGTTGTGGACGGGACTGTGGGTGTCAGATTCAGTAGAAAGGATGGAGGGCAGTGGCATGGCTGACATCCACCTCATGATTCAGCCTTGGGCTGATGCCGCAGATGCTGATCCTGTCTCCACCTCATGAAGTTAGAAGAAGGTCAGAGAATGCTGTCCCCATGCCCTTTTTGCAATACCAGAAAGATGTTGACCTGTGTTTTATTGACTGTGGAAAGGCATTTGACTGTGTGGATCATAAAAATTATGGATAACGTTGCACAGAATGGAAATCCCAGAACACTTAATTGTGCTCATTTGAACCTGTACGTGCATGAGAGGCAATTGAAAAAGTGTTTTCCTGGCTGTATCCCAGAGTTCAAGGGGCCATATACTGGATAAAGATAAACCTGGTGACCTGTAGGGTTGGTCGGGTGATGGACAAGTGGATTGCTGCACTACTTGGCTGCCATGAATAAGGTTACTCTGAACATTCTACTACAGCTTTGTTATGGACAGCTTTGCTTCCTGTGTATTACTCAAATGTGTATCTAGGACAATGGAGGATAAACTTATTATTTCTAGGAGCCTTATACACCCCTAAAATACAGAAAGTTTAAAAGAAGCTTCCAGATTAAATTCATTATTGCATTCAACACGTACTTGTTGATATTGCCATATTGTCAGCATCCTGGGCATGGCATGAGCAAGAGAGAGATGGGCTCTGTCCTCTCCAGGCTGCCTGGAAAGGGAGGGAGGGAGGGAGTGGTGGTCAGCGGTGACCACAGTGGCATCAGCCATAGGACATTTGACCCCCTTGAGAGCAGGTCTGAGCCATAGACCTGACCTAGACTAGTTCCAGGACCACCAATGACACTGCATGACACATTTCCCTAGGAGTGATTCTGCAGAAGTTTGTTTAGACCCCACAGCTCTTATTCATGAACTTCCCTGACTCCAAGGCTCCCAAATCAGACCTACTGTCAGAGGGTCATCCATCCTCCACCCTACTGCCTGCAAAGATGGACTATGGAGTAGAATAGGCTGTCCAGAACCCAGAACCTATCACACACCACTCGGGAAAAGGTTCCCAAGGGCCAATTTTTCCCAGACCCCCTACCCCATGCCTCAGGGTCCCAACACCCAGCACTTCTCACTCTACTCCCATTTCCTTCCTGTCTCCTTTGGGACGGAGCCTGCTATCACTGATCCCTGCACTGGAATTCCTGCCCTGTTCATCCTAGGCCTCTTTGTCTAGTTTCTGAACCTCAGTCCCTGATCCTCAGTCTTGCTTCTCTGTAGGATGTGGAGGCCACCACACTGCCCAGCTCACAACATGGTGCTGGAAGATGGGAGAAGGTTCAGAGAACAGGCCATTCCTCCTGGTCTGGCTAGTGGCTGGGAGTGGGTGGTCAGCTCACCAAGGACAAATGACATTGATCACATTGTTTATGGGTCAGCTTTAGGGTACACTCAAAGCATGTGTCTGTCCTGATACACATGTGTATGTGTATGATGTTTTCTCTCTGCAGTGGGCTGAGGAGACAGGCCCAGAGGCCTGGAAAACATGGCTGAGAGTCTTGGCTTGTTTTTGCGTTGCCCCTTTTCCCAGTTTTCCAGACATGCATGTGGTGGCTCAGGCCCAGTGGTTCCCAGGTTCCAGAGGCACATAATTCCCATCTTGGCCAGAGAGGCCCCTCACAAGCTGATCCTGGGACCTGAGTCCCCTCAGTGTGATGCCCCGGGAGAAGAGCCTTCCTCTTGTCCCCTCAATGAAGGTCCCTCCTACACTGGTATCCACTCCTAGCAAAAGATGGAGAAGATGCAGCCCTCTGCTGCATTGGACCCCTCATTCTGCACTCCTCAGCTGCTCCTTGGACTTTCCCTTCTCTGGTCTCACCTGTGTCTTCTTCTGAGCACTCTGATATCATTAACTGTAAGGATCTGCCTTCACCTGCCGCCTCTCCCCTCTTCACTCTAACACAGGGGGTCCTGCTGACTTGCCCAACTCCTCAGTACACACACCTGGGTTGCCTCCTGCCCACTGCCTTCTGACCCCAATCACCTCCTTATTCCTCAGTTCTGGAATATCTCCTGCTCACTCCCACCTCATCCCAATAAATGAGCTGCCCCCTGGTCCCTCCACAGCTTCAGGTCCCTCTTGGACTGGCAGCTGCATCCTTCAGACTTTCTCTCTTCACCTAAGTGGGCTTCTGTCCCCTCCCACCTCCTCAATGGCCCAAACTAGGCTGCCTCCCACCCCTCATTCCCCACATCTTTATTGTAGCCTGGCCACCAGGCTTATTCTTCACAACCATGCTTTCTCCTCACCCAGCCCACGTCCTAACTTCTGACCCCTTCTTCCTCTTCAATTCCTAAGTATGGCATTCAATCAATCCCTCCAGCCTCCCAATTACCCAATTCTAGGCCTTCTCCTGGTCCCCAAACCTTCTCACTGCCCATACTTGACTCTTCCATTCTGTCCACTTCCTTTGTTGGGTGCCTCCTGACTCCACCCACCTCATTCATACCTACTCTTTCACCTGCCTTCCTCACTTCCTCCCCTCCCATATGTGAATTGCCTCCTGACTCCTCTCACCTCCACACTCCCCAAAGCATGACCACCTCCTAACCCCTTCAACCTCTTCATTACTCAGACCTGTGTCTCCCACCCACTTGTTACTCACCCCTAAGGTTTATCATGCTTTCTTCCCATTGCCCATCCCTGGGCCACCTCCTGGCCCTTCCTACCTCTGCACTGCACACACCTGGCCATCCCCCTGACTCTCTCCACCTTCTCACTCTGCAGACCAGTCCACCTTCTCACTTCCCACACCTGGGCTGTCCTTAACTCCCTCCCACTGGGACCTGACCTTTGCCATTCCTCCTTCCCCACATTCGAGCCTTCTTCTATTTCTTTCATTTTCCTCAGTTTCCACACCGAGTCTGAATCCTGGCCAGTCATCCCTCCTCACATCCCACACCTGGGCTCTTTCCTGACTCCTCCTAACTCCTTGCAACCACATCTGGGCTTCTCAGCCTTGCCATCTCCTATCTCCTTCCACCTATGCCTCTACTGACCTATCTCCTCCTACCTCCTCCTTACTCCTGACCCGTGTATGGCCTGGCCCACTCCACACTCACTGCTCACAGGGAACCCTCACTGAACCCTTCTCTTCCATTCCTCCCACATCTATGTCTTCTTGGTGGCCAAGCCTCCTCCTCACTAACCGTTACAGGGCTACCTCCTGACCCTGCCCACATCCCCATTACCACACCTGGTGGTGGAGTCCTAGCCCCTTCCAACCTCTCACTTCACTCATTGGGTCTAACCCTGTCCGCCTCCACACTCACACCAGTGCTGCACCAAGACCACTCCTGACTCCTTGTTACCCACATTTGAGAGTTCACCAGGCCACTCTCACTTCCTCAACTCTCATAGATAGTCTGCCTCTTTTTCCCTTCTAACTCTCACTCCCCATACCTGGACTATGCCCTCACCTTTTCCACCTCCTCCCTCCCCTCCTCTCCCATTATCCTGTTCACAGGCACTCATGCAATGCCTGTCCCCAAATGCTCACAGCAGTACTACTCACATCCATCTAAAGCTGGACACAACTCAGTCGCCCATCAGCAGATGAATGGATGGATAAAGTATGCTCCATCCATACAATGGGACCCCATTAAACCTTAGAAAGAAATAGATACTGATGGCAGCTAAAGCACAGATGAATCTTGAAGACAGTAAACTAAATGAAGGATGCAAGGTGCAAAGGACCAGCTATTTCCCCTTCGAGATCAATATGCAAGGAGATGAATCTGTAGACACTGATTGCCATCACTGATTGCCATGGGTTGGGGGTGGAAACATAGGGACTTCTTTATGGGTACAGGATATCTGTTGCGGTGATGAAAACTTTTGGTAGTGTTATGGGTTCAGTTTAAAATAATAGCCACTATAATGTCCAATTTTGGGTATAAGTTTTATTTAGGCTCGTCAACTGCAGGAAGCTGAAACATGCTCCTATGCTGCAGCATTAAGTCTGATTTTAGGTAGGCTTTATAAAGCCAAAAGGCAAGCAGGGAAGCAAGTGATAATACAGAAGGAGATGCTGCAGTTTCAAGGACTCAGAGTATGTGCTTTACCACAGGCATTCATCTAGGGGTGTTTTAGTTGCTTAATATGCAAAAGTGGGGGGAACCCCTTAACCCACAGGGAGTAGGGGCAAGATGAGATGGTCACTTCAGTGACATAAAATGGAGTTTTAGCAAGATATTTCCAGTTATAGCTGGATATTACAAAAGTAGAGTTACAAAGTGGAGTCACTTCAGCAGCAGACGCTTATAATTTTAGAAAATAATTATGACATTACACAAAGCCACTATGTCATATGCATAGAAACTATTAAGTCAAAACTTTATTGAATTAGACATCTATCAGTTAAAATAGCATAAAGGAAAAAGTGAGTGGGGAGAATATTGAAGAAATACCAAAAAAAGCTCTCACTTAAGTGCTGGAATAACAGTGCGGTTTCTAGGGGACATTCTGCGGAGAAGGAACAGCACGAGGCTCAGCCTGTCGGTCCGGGGCCATATCTGGAGAGGGAGAATATAGTGGTTTACTAAGCCACAACGTTAGGGGAGGAACAGGATGGACATGAGAAGGTGGGTCACAGTTTCCTTCTGGCAGTGTGCATGAGTCTCCAGACCTCCAGTTTGCCCTCCGTCAGGTGGTGGTGATGGAGCTGGTGATGCTGGATCTGGTGCACTAAGGGGCTCTGATGGTGTTTCTGGATCACGATCCACATTACCAAGGTGTCCTCCATTTGCTTCTTGTGGCGGATGATGAACAATGTCCAGCTGTCCAGCTGGCTCTTCACCAGCTTCCAGTAATGGAGCTGCTGATGGTGGATCTGGGGCTCTATAGGGCTCTAATTTTGTTTCAGCATCTGGATCCAAAACACCACAGGGTTCTTCAATCACATCTGGTGGTAGACCAGGAACAATTTCCAGCTCTCCAACTGGCTCTCCATCAGCTTCCAGTGATGGACCTGGTGATGGTGGATTTGTGGCTCTGGGGAGCCCTAATTTTCTTTCAGCATCTGGATCCACATCACCAGAGGGCTCTTAACACACTTCTGGTGATGCAACAGGAAGAATCTCCAGCTCTGCAGCTGGCTCTCTGTCAGCTTCCAGTGATGGAGCTGATCCTGGTGGATCTGGGGCTCTACGGGGCCCTGCTTTTGTTTCAGCATCTGGATCCACATCACCAAAGGGTTCTTGATTCCCTTCTGTTGATGGATGAGGAAGAATTTCCAGCTCTCCAGCTGGGTCTCTGTCAGCATCTAGTGATAGAGCTGGTGATCGTGGATCTGGGGGTCTATGAGACTCTGATTTGGTTTCAGGGTCTGGACCCATATCACCCACAGGGTTCTTGATTCATCTCTGGTGATGGACCAGGAGGAATTTCCAGCTCTCCAGCCGGCTCTCCATCAGCTTCCAGTAATGGAGCTGGTGATGAAGACCTGGAGTTCTACAGGGCTCTGATTTTGTTTCAGAGTCTGGACCCACAGCACCAGCGGGTTCTTTATTCACTTGTGGTGATGGACCAGGAGGAATTTCCAGCTCTCCAGCCGGCTCTCCATCAGCTTCCAGTAATGGAGCTGGTGATGAAGACCTGGAGTTCTACAGGGCTCTGATTTTGTTTCAGAGTCTGGACCCACAGCACCAGCGGGTTCTTTATTCACTTGTGGTGATGGACCAGGAGGAACTCCCAGGTCTCTAGCTGGCTCTCCATCACCTGCAAGTGATGGAGCTGATGATGTTGGATCTGGTGCTTCATGGAATTCCTTATTTGCTGCACTAGCAGGTTGGGGTTCCCCAGCTGATCCCTGAGTTGGTTCTGGAGATGTTGCTGTATCCTGGGCTACTCTTACAATGGGTATTGGTCTTGTCTGTAGAGCTTCAACAAAAGAAAAGTTCAACCACATGAGTGCCTTTCTTCAAGTCTTTCCAAAAATATAAACCCTCCCATTGCCATGATGTGGACCATTTCCCAATATTTCCTCCCAGGTTATCTTCCCATTTTTCACACTTTTAGAGGTTTTAGGTGACTCTGAGCTTTGGGTCAAAACAAGCCTATGGGATCTTTCCTGTGTTGTATCACCCAGGCCCCCATATCACTCAGCAGCAAAGATACACAGTCCTCCTCACCTGCTGGTTCTGCCTCATTCAGCTCCAGGTGATGTAGCAGGCCAAGGAGAAGATGGGCACAGTGCTCCAAGTCTGAGTCAGGCATATTCACATGTAGGTGAGGCAGGGGAAGTGCGGGGACTGATGGAAATCCTCTGGGCAGTCATCTAGGCAGTGGCCCAGAATGAAGGTGATTGCTCTGGGGGTGACTGGGTGTTGAAGAACAAAGTCAGAGGCCTATCCTTTCCACCACACTGCACTTCCTGGGCACCCCTGTAATAGGCTGAGTCCCTCTGTCTGCATACCTCTTCCAGAGCCCACTCCCGTGCCCACCCACTTTAGCTGTCCTGGCAGTGGCAGTCCTGGTCACTGAGGAAGGGCTACAACAGAAACTTGGTGTCTGGGTTCTCTCCACTAAGGTTTGACCAATGGTTCCTTCCTCAGAAGCATGACTTATATTACCATCTGTTGTCTGGCCCATTGCCATAGGGGAGTTAGCACTGGAGGCCAGGAGAGTGTTTCTGCACCTTCACTTCACAGCTGGACTCCCAGGATGCTCCATGAATACATGACCCTAAGGGACACATGGCATCCCCCTGCCCCAGCCTACCCACACTGAGGTACACATGTGGTACACCCTGCTGTAGTCTTCTCACTCTGAGGGACATATGGGGTCTCTCTGCCCAACCTGCCCATGTCTTCAGCTTGTGTGCCTGTGTTCTGCCTAACTTTCTGTGCCCATGAAGATCTCTTCGACCACCAACAGTGTTCCACAAGGGACAGGGAACCATATGCAGCTGATCCTCCACCAATGGGGCTTGGGCTCTTGCAGTAGGTTTCTTCTGACACCACTTGTTTGGGTCCCCATAGGGATGGGGGCACACAGAGATGGGAGGACATTTTAGGTGTACAGATTCTTTCAGGGACCCTTCTGAGTCCCCAGGCTGTCCTCTGCTCCCCGAGATGCAGAGTCTCCACCTGCAGATATCTGAGACTGCTGTCTTGCAGGTGGCACCCCAAGGTCCTCAAGATGTGCAACACCCAAGGTCTCTCAGCCCAAATGAAAACTGAGGTCCCCACAATCCCCACCCCCTGAGGAGACAGGAGCCCCTCCTTTTCCACCCAAAGACCACTCACTCTTTCAGCTGGTCCTGGGGTCTGCTCTCCCCAGCAAAATGAAGGTAGTTGCAGCCATCTGGAGGAGGTGTGGGGGCGTCACCTCTAATGCATTGTGGATGGTGCCTGATCAGTAGGGTGGGACTTGCTGTCGGACTCCCTGACATGGAGGTCCAGGAGGATAGTGTTCCAGTCTGACTCCCTGACTGAAACGGAGGTCCAGGAAAGCAGGGTTTCCCATAGGACTCCCTGACTGAAATGGAGGGCAACATGGGATGGACTTCATGTCTGACTTCGTGACTGAAATGGAGGCCCAGGAGGGTAGGGCTTCCTGTCTGCTTAGTTCATGGCACAATGCAAAGTGTCTAGAACAGTATCTACAGCATTGACAGACAACTGTTGAGTCACCCACTCCACCTGCACCTTCCCCGTTACCTACCAGGCCAGAGACTCCTCTGCTCACCAGGAATCCCCATTCTGGTGACACCAAGTATAGGCTCCCACAAGATGACATCACAACCCCTTTACAAATGGGAAATAGGTTTGTTTAAGGGCATGTGGTCAGGGAGAGGTGAGGCTGAGTTTTCAAGTGAGATAGGAAAACAAGAAAAGGACACATCACAGCCTCTCAGACAGGGTCTTCTGGAGAGCTGGACTTGGGGTGCACACTTCTTATGGTGGGTCCGATGGGACCCCTTCAGTAATCCCAGTGGATTGGTCCTTTAGGGAACAAACCAAAGTTCCGACGGTGAAGCAACATTCCGGACTTACAGTTGGTAGCTGGTGGCAGAGGGTGGGCACTCACCTTTTGAACATCACGTCCAGGACATGCCGGGTGGTGGTGTAACGTCTGAAGGTGCACATAAAGACCTGCATGTAGGCCAAGTCCCCTTCCATGACGGCAGGCACCACGCGATTCACAAGCTTGGCCACCCTGCGTGCCTTGACTCTCTCCTCCACTTCTTGGTCTGAGCCACAGACACACTGGGTTGGGACAAAGGAGGGACATAGGCAGCCTGGTGACACAGCAGGCCAATTGGGAACCCAAGCTCAGACCAGTGACCTGTGGCAGGAGCTGGGACAAGAGTGCCTCCAGCAGAAATCAGGGCTCGGCTTTCCATGCCGAATGTGTGGTGAGGATGTTCAAAAACATGAGGGAGTGGAAGTCATTATGATCACTAATGAATCATGAAATCTTAAAAGAAGAGCAGTAGCCCCTTGAGTCCTTACAAAACACCCCACTGCAGAGATGAGGAAGCAGAGGCTGAGCCAAGTCCAGTGTCTGCTCGAAGACACGCAGTCCTAGCCCAGAACCTCCTAATACCTGGGCTCCATGATGTTCCCTAGATGCTGGTGAGGCCTAGTCTTCTCCTGACTTGGATGTGGGGCATGAGAGAGGGGCTATGGGGATGTCTTGAACAGACACATTCCCCCTCCCCAACTGGAGACAATACACAGAGTAGACACATCCCACGAGATCCCCTCTGAGGGCAAAGCATGACATGGATTGTTCTTTCTGTACATGGAAGGGGCTTAGGTGAAGTCATGGTGGTCCCAGATGCTGCCAAAATTGAGAAACTGGAGATCCCATAGTGGGAGACCAACCTTCACAGGACCAAGGATCTTCCAGACACTCACTTGTGGAGTGAGCATCCAGATGGCTGGTGAAGGACTGAGAGGTGGCTCAGCTGCTCAGGGACACAGCTCAAAGCCACGTGCAAACCTAACAGGTTGGCACCAATGCAAAGGAACCATCACATTAGGACAGGCTGGATGCAGGGACAAGCCACCCTCACAGACTGTTGATGTCATGTGACTGCTATAGCTGTTTGGGAAGGAATCTGAATGTAGGGCCCTAACTTTAATACCTGCATCACATGAGTGGGATCTGGGCTAGGCTGTCAGTGTGGGAGGACAAACATCAGGGTCACTATCATCCCTGCAGAAAGGACAGCAGAAAGGCATGTGTCCAGGGTCAACAGCAATGAAAGGCTCCATCAGTGAGTGTGGTGCAGTGAATGAATTGGTATTGCTATTCTAGCCATAGTCTTTGTAACTACCACCAGAATACAGGGTAATGCAAAAAAAAAAAAAAAAAAAAAACGCATCCACTTTTGTGGAGTCGAATCCGACTCATAGCGCCCCCTCCTTGGGTTTCCGAGGCAGTATCACTACAGAAGTAGATTGAACAACCTTCCTTCTGAGGAGTGGCCAGTGGTTTTGAACCACAAGCCTTCAGGTTAGCAGTCAAATGTCTTAGGCGCTACGCCACCAGAGCTCCTGATTACTGGGTGGGACCATGCAAATACGGCGAGTAGAACTCAGATGGTGGGATTAGTTTTGTCATTCTAGCAGGCTTAAAATGGGCCCTTCTAGAGGCAGAGAGGGGATTTCACTGCCATGAGGAGAGAAGAGCTGAAGGTGAAACAGAGTGTGTCCTTGGACTTGAGATCCCTGCACTGGATCCCCTTGGCAGTCACTCAGCAGAGAGAGACTCTGACCAGAGACAAATGCCTGGCAGAGAGAAAAGCAAAGCAGAGAAGTAATGATTGTCTTTGGAGGGATGGCTGACGTGAGAGCTAGTAAAAAGGCTGGAGGGTGGCAGTAGGTCTGCCTCTTCTGAATAAGCCTTGGGCTGCTGATGGTGACTCTGTTTCCCCCTCGCAAGATTGGAGGAGGTAAGAAGATGTCACCTCCATGTCTTTTTAGCAGTGGGGAATACAGCCTACGTTCTGCAATGTTTCCTTGCAGGCAAGTCAGGACAGTTCCTGATGTGCAAGTGTCCTAGTGATGGTTTTGCTGAGAACACAGATAGCAGACACAGGTATATCATAGTCTGAACCTTGCATTTTTGGTTAAAAGAAGCTGTGTGACACTGGGAGGACCTATGGAAGGCCAGCCTAGCTGACTGATGTCAGGGAACCAAGGATAGGCATTAAACGCTAACACAGGGGTGAGGTGTAGTAACACATGTGGATGTGACATGGAAACAGGGTAGGAGACTCCTATCTGATCATCCTACAAATAGAGGGAAAGTGTCTTTGCACCTGGTGAGGGAGGAAAGGGCTGTTGAAGCAGGTGTAAATGTTGGTGGGTGGCCAATTCTTTAGGATAAAGACTTGGGGCCCCTGAGAAGGCAAGCCCAGGAGAAAGCATGGGGCTTCCAGGGTGGTGTCTGGCTCGTGGGCCCCCTCTGATCATCTGGGGTCCTTGGGTGGAGATCCTGCCTCCTGCACTCACACAGAGTCTGCACCAGCACTTCCTGGCCCCTATCTTGGGGTGGATAATGCCATCTTTCTCCTCCTTGTGGATCTCCTGAGGGGGACTCTGTGGAAACAAGGCCCAGAAGCAGACCTGGAGGCATCCAGAGCCCCTTTAAACCACCTCCATCCCTCTCTGCCCCTTAGAGGAGCTCACAATTCCTTGTGTCCACCATGGGCTGGGGGACTGCCTGGGCCTGCACTATCCAGCCCCACCCTAATACACTGACCATGCACAAAACTATCATTCCCATATGACTGTAGAACTCAAGGTATAACTGGGACCTCCAGGTAGAGACTATGTGATAAGGGAATTGGGGCAAGGAAACAAAGCAGGTCTCCACCTGTGCCACACAAGCCCATATTCCAATCTGATGGAATAGACCCACCGACCATCCCATTCTAGGTCAGCCCCAGTCCCATGAGCCCAGCACTGGTGATTGATAGTGGGGATGGAACTGGCACAGCTCCCATGCTTGCCAGTTGTTAAGCAGTAGCAGAGCCAATTTCATTATCTTCCTCACCACTTACCTCTCCCAAATCTCCCAGATCCTATGATCCTCCTTCTCTGACCCCACCCACCTCTCCCCCAAATGGACCCTGCCTCCTTCAACAACTTTCAACCTCTTCAGTTCTGTCCTCTCTTCCTTCCAGCTCTCATCACCAGGGAGAAAACCACCTTACCAAGGACAGGGGCTGGCATGGCTTGTAGGCTGGTGTGACATGGGGTAGGGGTGTGGGGCTGCCCAGGTGGGGTCAGAGTTGTGGCCTAGCCCCGGTTGACCTACCAGGACCATTCTGTGTTACTTTCCCGTTCTTTTTCGCAAATAGCCAGAGACTTCGGGGGTGGGAGCTGAGGCCTCGTCTCAACCTCCGTGAAAGGGTCGAATTCCTGGACTTTTCCAGGTTATTTTCCGGAGATGACGAGAAACAACTTGACCACATGCTCATACTTTGAGTGTCTCCACTCACGTGAGCTGGTCTAGGGCCTGTCTCTAGAATGTGGGGCCTGGTTACCAGGATTCCAATTTTATGTACTCTGTTGCCAAGGAAATGAGGTCATATCCTGGGTCACCTGACCTTGGCCTGATTTCAAATCAGAGACCCCAAAGGTTGCACTGGGCTGCTGAATGCTCACTTGTCCCCATGCCATCTCCATAACTGTGCACAGTGACACCTACACAGCCCCACAGAGCCTGGGGATGGTCAGGGTGAACCCAGGACTCCAGCTTTGAGCAATCAGAGCTGAGCTCATACCTCTCAACCAGTTTGAGAACCTGGACACATCTTTGTGTTTCTCAGAGCATCCCCACTCCCCAGGCACACAATGAGGGTCATTCTGACATCCACTTCCTTGGCGTGTCACCAAGTGTTTGAGAGACAACACCTATATAGACTATAATATACGTCGTGTAGCAGACAAAAGGCTCACTAGTGGCTCAGTGGATAAGCACTCAGCTGCTAAGTGAAAGGTTGGAGATTCAAACCCACAGCTTCTCCCTGAGAGAAAGATGTGGCATTTCTTGCCTCCCTGTGCAGTGGGCCATGGCCTGTGCTAGAAGACCCCAGAACCCTGTCCTGAGACAGAGCTGGCTGCATCACCTCTTTTCTTTTATTGGGATCCCTTGGGTCTTCCTCTCTGACCCACAACTCACGTCACCTCTGTCAAATCAATATGTGGGCCAGTTGGTTCTCCCAAATTTTAGGGCCTCTCACTCCCAATGCTAACCCCATGTGAGGAGCTGATCCCTGGCTTAAGAGTCTGAAGATTTCTTCATGCTCTGGACTCTGCCCATCGCTGTGTCCTGTACCATCCCTGCCTCTCTGTTGTACTCAGTTTCCCAGTTTTCACTGAGGGTTTGACAAGTGTCTTGGCTCTCATGTTACTGTAATAGAACTGCCACAAGTCAGTGGCTTTAACAAATAAGAATTTATTATCTTACAGTTGAGGAGGCTAGAAGTCCAAATTCAGAGTGCCAGCAGCTCTCAGGGCTGTGTGAAGGCCCCTTGACCTTTGCCTTCAGCTCTGCCTCTTGTTCCAGGCCCATGGGAGTTGAAGCCTTCTTCTGAGTCACACAGTGACTGGCTGTTGAGGCTCATGAATCCATGATGAGCAGGTAAAATGACACAATCCCAACCTCAGCAAGCAACACAGCAGGACACTGGTTCAAGTCCAGGAACTGGAGATGAAGACTTGGCCAAATGCAGGATCCAGATGTGCTAAAGGCCAAGGATCTTTCTCAAAGCTTCTCCACATATAGTAGAAGCAAGCCACACCCCAAAGACAGCTCCCCTTCTACTGATTAAAATCCCACCCCAGATTCCACCATGGAGTTAATACCCAATCTCATCCTGGGGAATAAATGTATCTAGCTGCCAAGCCACTCAAAACCATGGCCCACCAAGCTATAAAATGTACCCTAACTACAAAATGGCACTCCTTGTCAACTTACCACCAGTATAGATCTCCTTCAATGGGTGGCTCGATTCTCCTAATCCATCTGAGTGGTGACCTCATCCCCTTGGCCTAGCACACCCCAAACTTCTGCCTCTTGGTCATGTCGGTCTCGCCCACTCACTTCTGGGCAGTACATATGGCCCTATCCCATTGGCACTCGTGTAGAGCATTCCCACACTCCAGAACCGAGTTGGTGAAGATCTAGCTTTTTGAAACCTAGGAGGCTGTGGTGATTCCACCTTGTGAAACTCCAGTGACCACAGTACTATCCTTTGCGATGGAGGCAGCTCAGATTCCCATTTCCTTGTTGTCTTGAGAAAGCCACCCACAGCCTCTGCCTTGTTCCAGCAAGTATTACAGAGCTCTTCAGTTCTACTCATTACTGTGCAAAGGCAACCCACTCCACCAGGAAGCCTCCTGCACACAGGCATTCAGCTTTCTCGCTCTATGGGTTGGCAAGCCCACTGCCCTGTCTTGTGCCAGTTTCTCAGCTCTGCTCTTGCCATCTCTCTGCCAGTGTCCCTGCCATAGTCTCAATGCAGGGATCTCAGGTACAAAGACATGCTCCACATTCATGGTCACATTTTTGATCTATTAGAGCAGCACCACATTCCTCTGGACCAAATTTTGTCTTGGTTCTCTTGTGCTTGGTATAACAGAAATAATACAAGTAGATGGCTTTAACAAACTGGAATTTATTCTACAGTTCAAGAGACTAAAAACCCAAATTCAGAATGTTGGCTCTTGGGGATGGGTAAAAGCCTTCTGACTTTAGGCTTCAGCTTTACCTCTTATTCCAGGCTCACTGAAGCCGAAGGCTTCTTCTGACTCATGCAGTTACTGGTTGTTGAGGCTGAAAAATCCACGATGGGCAGGTAAAATGGCATAATCCCAAGATCATCAGGAAACACAGCAGGTACAAGTCCAACAATAGTCCTAGGACCTACAGTCAACACAACAGGTCACTGGTTCAAGTCCAGGAATTGGAGATGAAGACCATGTCAAATGCAGGACCCAGATATGCCAAAAAGCTAGGAACTCTTCTCAAAGCTTCCCTATAAACAGTGGAATCAGGCCACACCCTAAAGGCAACTACTTAGCTATTCCAAGCAGATCTACTGTGGCGGTGATAACATTCTCATCATGGGAAATAACTACATCCAACTGCCAAGCACTCAGTTCATGGCCAGCCAAGGAGAAACACAATGTTAACTAGCTCAGCAAGGAACCACTTCAGTGCTTCCTCAGGGAGGATGGAGGCTATGACTCCTACACTGAGGTGGGTGTTCATGGTGCTGGGTACTAGCACTGCATTTGGCATCCTTAGCTTGAGGGAGATGGTTCCTAGGACAGTAAGGCTGAAGTCCATGGCCCAGTGCAT